AAATTCAGCAACCTCACTGATTTCAGCATTGGACTCTAAATCATCATTCGCTGTGTTCATCATATTATTTATGTTCATCGGTTCGCTTATAAACATTTCATCTCTTTGCTCTTCCATTTCTAGCCTATTTGAAAGTATTTATTTAAATTTTTCAAGATTACATGCAATGATTTTTCACTTAGCAAGTAAGACTGCCTAATACGTTAATCTCATTTTAAAATTATATAATTATTTTGAATATTGTGATTAATTTAAACTTGAAAAATAATTATAAGAAAATATGTAAATAAGAATATGTAAATATACAATAAAAATAAAAATTATTGTATGTCTTTAATGTAATTTTAATGATAATGTCGAATAATTTTATAAAAGTGAACATAAATAATTTTTTGTACATTAAATAGCTTCAATTATTTCATTTAAAAAAAGAAATTTTTAAAGAAATTTTTAAATAAGATATTTGATAATAATTTTTATATCATTTTTTAAATAACATTAAATAATTTATATTTTTGTATTAATATGAAAAAATTTTATCATATCCTTAGATTACATAATAGCTTTTAAACAATATTTCTAATGTAATTTCGATAAAAGAGTCTGTTAATTTGAAAAATGAAATATTATTATATTAGGGTTGAAATATTATTGAAAACTTCTAAGCTATTCATTTATATATATATATATATATAAAATATTATTTGCAAAAGTGCAATTAGTTGTCTCAATTTATTAATTAAATTTTTTTAATATGTATAATTTATTAATTTCTCAACTTATTTTCTAGATTTAGAAATACTAAGTCTGTAAACTGTCTGATAATGTTCATTAATTAATTTCCTTGTATTTTCAGAAATGCGTGTAATTAATAATAAAACATATACTCTAATATTAGTAAATTCTTGAATGCAAATGCGAAATAGATGCAACTCTTGAACACTCGTTCACTTAAAAACTGATATATCCCTCGAAGTGAATACTTTGACCTCCGCGTCGTGACTGCTTATTCTTTGATTCTTCATTCAATAAAAGCTATAAATGTAGTGCAGGAAGAAGTACAGAAAATAAAAATGGATTGATTTTTTAACCGAACTTCATGTATGAAATTCTTCGTGAGTGTATTTAAGCATTATTAATGTAGAAATAAATTAAAATGAACTAATCATTTTAAATTTTTAATATAGCATATTTGCATACGTTGTCAACATTTCATAGTAAATGTGAAAATTTCCTATAAATTTTCTTTAAATTTGTAAAACATGTCACAATATATTTAAAAATACAATCATTAATTTAACACAAATTATATTTATACTTTACTTCTAATATTAATACTTTGAACAAAAAACATAACAAGAAAGCTAATTTATCAACTAATACACTGTACAATACAGAATTGTTATAATTTCATTTTATAACCAATTTCAAATGATTTTCATGATCCAAAAGTAATTAGATAAATGACAAATACATAAAGAAACTTCGAATACCAGTAGTATCAATATTCAAGACACTTTAAAAACATAAAAGGAATATGTCATTTCTAATATATAAAACATTGATTTTTATAAATCCCATTAGGAAAAATTTGATATTTCATTATAATAGTCTCTTGTATCTGAAATAATAGATCTGTAATATAGATATAATAGAGAGATTGAATGCCAAATTTATTATAGAAAATTCGTTCTTGATTCAAAAACAATAGATTCAATAATGACATGGAACTTACAATTTTAAATTGGAAATCCAATATAAAATTTGAATTCTTTGACCTTATCTTTTGACACCAAGTTTTGTAAAAATAAATTATCATATATTAAATAATCACAGAAACATAAGCTTTGTCGAATTGGAACTCAAATAAATTCTATTGACAATATAATATATTGACAATATAATATATTGAAAAATTTGAATCGATGTAAAAAATTGATGTTTATTATGGGGAATATAAAACTTTAGAAGGTTCATTATATCGTATTTTTTTATTTATACTCTTATAATCTGACTTCTATATTAAAAATATATTTCTATGGACGTATGTGTATATAATTATATTTATGAAGAGCAAGTTGAATTATATAAAGTTAATATCCCATTATAAGTTATTATAGAAATTAATTATTTTTTTTAATACATTAAATAATTGTCATATTATACATTTTTCCAATATTTTTAAGTATTTAAAGCAAATGCGAATAAAAGTTTATAAAATTACAATCATTCCAATCATATGTAAATGAAAGCAACGGAAACTTTATATTGTCATTATCACATACGATAGTTTTTTTTCAAATGAACCTTAAGTTAGAATCAATCAATTATACATATTACTATACAATTCCAAATTTAAATAAAAACACATCCATATACTAGAAAAAATTTCATTTATTATATCAGGTGCAATACATATTGAAAAAAAAAATATCTTTTTGTACATTTCATTAAAAAATTTTACTAAATTAATTTATGTTTTGTGTTTCTATATTAACTTTTTAAATTATCAATTAAAGTTTTTTATACAAAGATAAGTTATTTTTTACTTATAGTATTATGTTGATTAAAGAATATAACTGAAGTTAATTCCAATTTCAAGAAATAAAACATTGAAATTATTTACTAACTACATTAATATTTAAAACAAATTATACATAGAAAATTATTATACCTTAAATACATAGATATTGTTTTGTACAAAATAATAAAAAAGAATACAAATTATAATTATTTAAATTTCATATTTAGATTTATTGTATTATCACAAAAACTTTTCATATTGAAAAAAAAACAAAAGTATTACAAAAGTATAACAAGTATAATAGAACTATAAAAAATTTATTAATTAATTAATAGAGAAAATAAGTTAGAAGTTCGACTATAAATTACTTATTTATTAATATATATATATATATGTATATAATTTTTAAATACATATGTTTATGCTAATGAAAAAAGTAGAATAACATTTTTTTTTAATTCCATGTAATTACGCAATAACTGCTTCGCAAAATTTCACTTTATATATATTATATACCACCATAATTACATCAGATTACCAAGATGTTTTTAAAATATTCAAATACAAAGTAATAACGGATGCAATAATTAAGTGTGATATAATAAGTTAACTATTAATAACATTAAATAGGTTATAATATTTTGTTAATATATTCTTAGATAAATAATAAAATACATATAAAATTACATTTAAAAATAGATTTGTTATTTTTATTTAATATATCTACTTAAATTGTAAATAGATAAATACATATAATTTTGATTTCGCATAATTTTTATTTTATACAGAAAATTTATATTACTTAGAGCATTTAAGAAACATGGTATTTATTATTAGTAAAAGTTAATTTTCATTATATTTACATTAAATTCGTACTATAGTTACAAGTAACAGTTTTTTTTTTCATAACTATCGACAACGCTTATAAACAAGTTACTAGTGCTCGCTTATTTTAATTTATTACTTACTATTCGATCTTTTAAAGATTTTATATTTGCTCATTTTTACGTAAATTAAACTTAATCTTATTTTATAAATAATCATTATTATTATAATAATCAAGGAAAAATAACTCATTCAATTTATACATTTGCATTTTTACAAATATGAAAAATAAACTTTTACAATTTAAATATTATTTCTATACATGTTAATCTTCACAGTAAATTTTGCATTACTTACTGTATATGTGATTTCCAAAAATTTTTTACATATAAGAATTATGTGAAATCCATTTTACCGACAATAGTTGTTACTAAATTGATTAAATAAATATGTCATAAATTAAATGACAAAAGTTGTTTTATAACTGTGGTATTTACTAACTCTTTAATAAGGATCATGTAATTTCAATAATGCATGTATGTTTAATCATTCAACAAAAAAAAAATTTGAATGACATTCTATTACAATCGTTTGCTAATAAATTAATATATATGAAATGAGCTTCTAAATATTAATTTTGTAAATTCGCATATATATATGTACGAAAAACAGTATTTTTTCAATTAACAATTCATTACATATAATTAGATAAAATAGTACTTTTACATCTTTTTAATTATAATATTACTAATAAATAATGATCTTAATAAATATAAAATATAAATAACCATAATTTATAAACGATAATGTAATCTTCATAAACATTCTAATTATATAATTCTGAAACAAAATAACTATATTTTAGAATTTTACCAAACAATAAAACTTTTTATATATTTCCTATTAAATGTAAATGAATGATTTTTATATAATTAATTAATATATAATAAATTGAATTTTGTTTCTTAACAAAATTAACTCTCTTATTTAAGATATCATTTAAAATAACACTAATTTTAACTTTAATAAAGAATTCCATATTTCATTTATGAACTTAATTTCTTATATAAATGTATATATATATATATATATATATATATATATATATATTACATTGATTAAAACTATATTACATTATATATTTAATTATCTAAATTAAAAAATACATTTTATTAATAATAATTATTGAATGTGCACTGATTTTATAAAATTTTGTTTTTGTATACCATTGAAATTCTTTCATTAAAAAAACTAAATTTCGTGATATTAGAATTGATTAAGAATTATAGAATAATCTTTAAATAATATGCTAAACTAAAAATTTTTATTAATAAATTTCTTTTCATAATTTTTATGAATTTTCATTCATTTAGAATATTTTATATAAAAATAGTTTTATATTATTATAATAAATATTTAATATTGAAATATTAAATAATTTTTATTTAATAAGCTATTTAATAAGCTATTTAATAATCTAATAAAATAAATTATAAGCAGTAAATAGAATATTTATATATAATGTTTGAAAAATAACCGTTTATGTAGTAATGAAACTTTAAAAACAATTTTTTAATATATAAATAATTCAAATCACTATTAATTAAGAATTTATAATTTTGCAAAAATCACCCACATACTATTTTAAATGTTAATCATTTCGCAGAACACTTAAGGGATCTTCAACAATCTTTTTGGCAGTTTTTTTTAAATCCTTCGTAACTGATTTTTTTGCCATGACTTTTTCACTTTCTACTAATGGTTGTTTATCAATTGCTGAAGATGATGTTGGGTTTCCAAATATATTATCATCGAAATTATCTCCATCTTCAAATAGTGACTGCGTTTTCTTTTTCATTGGTTTCTTAATACTTGTAAATATATCCTCGTCGTCACTAGAGTTATCAAAAATATTCTTAGTTTTGTTACTCTTTAAAGATGTGTTCTCATTCTTTTTCACAGTCCCACTTGAAGTGGATAATTTAGATTCACTTTTGGTCGTATCACTTGATTTCTTTATATATTTAAAAAGATCATTATCATCATCCTCGGAAATTGCACCATCTAATAAATCGGTTTTCTTTTCCTTTTTTATTTTTTTTTTTATTTTATTTTTATTAGATGAAAAAAGATCGCTACCACTTGTATCATCGTCGTCAACAAACAAGTCTAATGCTGATTTCGATTTTGGATCTGCTACTTTGTCAAGTAGCTTAGATGAACTTGAAAAAAGGCTATCGTCTTCTTTCTTTAATAGTATACCTGAATTAAAAACAAAATTTTACTATATTATATAAATACATATATATATATATTATTTTATGGTTCATACTATATTATGTTTTAAAATTAAGACATAAATAATTCTGGATATTATCTATTAATAGCATTGCATATTTGCAATTGTGAACAGGAGTATATAAACCATGAATTCCTTTGATTTTCCGTTAATATATTTTTCTTTTAAAAATATTTAAAAAATATAAATATTTTTCTTCGTATTACCTTTAATTCTCTGATTTAGTTATTTGGAATGAAGAATAAAAGATAAATTATTTTACAATATCAGTAAAATACATAAATTTTAAAAAATTACCATATAAATAGTATTATTATTTTATCAAGAAAAGTATAATTGTTATTTATTTATAATAAATTCTTTATATAGTTTATGTGCGTTAGAGTATCAATAGAAACAAATATTTACTTTTTATTTCTTATAATATTCTTTAATAATTTATAAACTTGTTAGAAAAGAAAACTTTTTTACAATTTTGTTTTTTAAATTAAGTTCATTGAATGTTTTAAATATGATTATTAAGTTTTATATTATGTTTACAATTATTAAGTTCTGAACACGAATTAAATGTTAAAATTATGAATTTTCTATTTTTCTAATATTAAAATTATTAAATTTTATTTGTACAATACAAATAGTATTGAATATTATTTTAATTATCATTTAAACGCTTAAGACGGGTATATTTCACAATTTTTCCTAATTGCATATAATTTTCTTATTTTTCTTATTTAAATTTAATATTAAATGAGCTGAAAATATAAATATTAATAGTACTGTAATAAATAATTATGGATAATATGAGAATGTAATTTATTAATTTGATCATCAAATTTATACTGTATAGTAAGAATGATTACTATTATCCATGCGCGCACACTCTCTCTCTCTCTCTCTCTCTCTCTCTCTCTCTTAATCTCTTCCACATACTTATATCAATATCTCTTTGAAGGATATGCAATTTTAGATAAATTTTTTAATAATGTTAAATATATATAATAAATATATTAATGACAAATTAAATAATGGACCTTTATTTTTATCAGGTGACGGCGTTTTAGTAACGAAAGCAAATAGTTGACTCGGATCTTCGAGAGGATCATGGCTTTCATCTCTTAAAGGATCAGTAGATTCAATTTTTTCTTCTTTATTATTATTATTATTCTTTACTTCCTTTTCCGTTTGATTTTCTAAGCTTCTATGTAGACTGTTTTCTATATCTGTGAATTTCCCTGTTTGAAGATTAGCAACGGGAGATAAAATTGGCGCTCTACCAAACAGTGAATCTTCTTTGGTTGCCGAATCCTCTGGCAAATCAGGTGGTACATCAAAAAGGTCTTCTTCATCAGTGGATGGTGAAAAGAGATTTGTAACTGTATTTCTGGAAATGCTCAAGTCTGATTTGTCGTCTACATGTCCAGAATCATGTGGATTGGTTTTTTCACCGTCGAAACATCCTTTAAAGACGTATCGTTCGGTGATTGAATTTGGATCGGAGTCACTTATTAATTGATCGGACGAGATACTATTGCTAGTGGTATCGGTGATATCGAAATCTATGCCACTATGACGTAGGGCCGTCTGTCGTGCGTAGCGACTCTGTGGCCGGCGTTTCGATTGGATTCGTACTCGGCTCTGAAAACCAATTATGGCATTTAGAAAATATCTAAGAACTTTTAATTATGTATTGTATAGTTTTGATAAAATACTTGGTTGTTAATTTATGGTTGAAAGCTTTAAACATATAACGTTCAAAAGGTGATTTATCACTTGAAAATTATAAAACATATTTTCTTAATATCATATAAAGAGTGCATAGAATTTTTAGATGCATGACTTATTAATTTAAGTATATTAAATTTATTTAAATTTTATATACAATAGTTTTTTTCTTTGTATAAATAATTTCAATTTCATAATGATTATCAAACAAAATTAATAATCAATATTATATGAATCATGTTATTTTTAGTAAAAAATTATGCTCGTCGCTACTTATAAATTATATTATCAAAATTAAAAATTAAAATTATAACAATATTATAAAATTAGAACCATCATTTGTGAATGAGTCATTTTCATTCATCTCTAAAATTCCCAAAAATATAATGTAATTACCTTGGAAGTAATTGATGCCAATGTTTCAATTTGAGCTGGTTCATCAAAACTTATCGCTAATTCTGTATTATCCGATTTTGGAGAGGATGACTCCTTTGTTCGAGAATTCAAGTCTAAGAAAACAAATCATGCATATGAATAAAAAATGGTAGTTACATAATAATTTAAAATTTCCTATAGTAACTGTAATATTAGTATGATTCTGAATAGTATTTAAAGTGTAATATTTCTTGCCCTACGTAACATATTAGATATAAAATAATTTTACTGATTTAGTAATTCGAAAAAATTGTTCGATCTGATTTAATAAGATAATCAAGTAAAAGATATTCAAGACTAACCAGATGTATATGGAGATGATTCACTGCTGGGAAAATTTGGACTACTTCCTTCGCTACTTTCTAAATCAGTAGCATCCTGGGGGTCATTATCATTACCTTTGTCGTCGTTTATTTTTCTTAAAAGTGGTGGCGTATCTGTCGGAGAAAGAATTTTCAAGTCATTCATTTTTCCCATAAGATTTTTTATTTTCCCAGACATTACTGTTTTTTTTAAACCCTGCTGATTAGCTGATAATTCATCGGATGTTAATGTTGTCCCTTCAATTTTAAGCGTTTTCGGGGGTTCCTTTTTCGAGCTTACAGCCCCATCAACCACACTGAATTCAGATTTTATATTTTTTTCGAAATACTCATGCTTATGTTTTTCTAGTTTTTGTTTAATTTCAGTAAATATAGCTTTTTTAGATGACGAATCAAGAACAGTATGCTTAGAAACATCATCAATGTTTAATTTATCTTCGATTTCGGGGTTCACTTCCTTCACTTCCTTCTTTTCAGTAATTTCACTTTCACTTTTGTTTTCATTACTTTTTATAGAAGTATTTTTCTTGGTTCCAAAAAGATCATCGTCATCATTATCATTATCATCGAATAACTTAATTTTTTCAAGATTTTTTGTCATTGATTTTGAAATTACAGATACCTTTTCTTTCTTATCATTACTCTCTAACATAGAACCACTTTCGTTGATTCTCTTATAAGTTGAATCAGCTTCGTTTATTTTATTTTCTTCCATATTTTCATTCGCTTTCGTACCTGTCTTCTGTTCAAAGATATTTAACGCTTCCTTACTATTAATTTTCTTTGGAAAATTTAAGCTACTAAATAAATCTCGATCATCCTCGTCACTATCGTCAAAGATGCTGGTTGTCAATTTTTTAATTTTTAATATTTTTGATGTATTTTCAAAAATACTTTCGGGAGATTTATTTATAATATTTTGTTGGATTTTTTTTGAATCCTTATTACTAAAAAAATCTATCGAACTTTTATGATCATCAAATAAATTTGCAGATGAATGTTGGCCGATATTTGTCTTTAGTGCACTATTTGAAGTAGTTGCAAATAAATCAGAATCCGAATCGCTACCAAAAATATTCTTAGAAATGGTTGATTTTTGTGTAGGAATATTACCGAATAAATCTGAATTAAGAAAATCCTCAGAATCTTTGAATAAAATATTAGAACCTTTTAGTTCTGAAACATTGTTAACCTTTGTTGATTCTTCGAACAAATTATTTACAGATTGCTTTGTAGCCTGATTCTCCGAATCAATAAAATCTATGCCTTTCGAATTTTTCTCAAACAAATTATTACCACCTGTGGCTAAATCTTTTTCAAATAAATTATCACAACTTGCTTTTGAATCATTCTCCAAACTTTCTTTGAATAAACTATTCGTGGAATACTTTAGAACTTTTTCAGTATTTGAAATCTCACCAAATAAATCACTATCGGTATTAGTTTTAGTTTTTGCAAATTGCGAAGTATCCTTATCAAATAAAGCACTGTCTATTACTGGTTTGTCGTTGTCATCGAATAGCTTATCAGGAACTTGTGATAAACTTTTGACCGGTGTAACTGCAAATAAATCAACATCTGGTTCATCTTTAGATCCAAAAAGATTATCATCATTATCGAAAAGACTTTTCTTTTTTTCTGTTTGTGTTTTAGAAGGTGTCCGATCAATACTTTTTAGTGATTTTGTATCTGGACTAGCACTGATGAACAAATCATCTTCAGATTCCGAGTCATCAAAGAGTGAAGTTACCTAGCATTAAAAATTCGTTAAATTATATTTTATAAAGAAAATTCACTAAAATCATGATTAATTAACAGGTAGATATTATAGTGAAGTAATCAAATTATTTAAAATTTAATTATTCGTTTATCGTGAACTAATATCATATTACCCAACAGCTGTATTTAATCAATACATCACTCCACAAATAAAAATAAAATATAGACAACAATAAAAAATATAATATATAATGAATTAACTACAGTAAAATATAGATTAAATAAAAATGTTATGTGTTATAACTTTACAAAGTTTATTCTAATATAATTATACATATTAGTAATATTTATTAAATAAATACTTAAAAATATACATTCAGAGATAATTTATAATATATTAGACTATGGTGTTATTTAATGACTCTTCTTGAATTGTGATTATATAAGAGAAAATAAGTAAAATAGTTATATTATATTACTATTTAATATTTAAAACATAGCTTTGGTGAATATCTGGAATATCATTCTAGATCGAATTTCCAATAATTGTTTATTTCAACCATTGAAAGGATATTTAATAATTATTACTTTTTTTTAATGCAATTGAGAGATATAATTATTATAAATACTATTTTATGTATATTCATTGCACTGTTCAAATAATATAAAAAAATTAATTATATTTTCATAAGATATTGTTCAATAATAAAATATTTTTAAAATTGAGAGAGTAAGCAATAAGCTACTATAGGAAATTATTAAAACTTAATTTTATTAGATTTATCAAATAGCATATTCAGAAAATTTATTTAAATTGTAAGTATGTATCTACGCTTTAGATAAACGTATTATTAAATATAGTACTTTCAACGCTCGGGCGCGCGCATACACACACAAACACACAAAAATTCAATATAAACCAAATAGTAATTTTTAAACATATATTAAATTCCGTTTTACTTGCCTTCGATTTGGGTTTTGAATAATTTATAACTTTAGATAGTGGTGGTGGTCCGAATATTTCGTCATATGTAGTAACATTTTCAGTCTGCAATGGTTGTTGATGATTTTGCTGATCGCTGGTACTGTTTGGTTTGCTCTTATTCGAAAAAAGATTATCATTAACAACGTATTCACGTTTAATGTCTTGAGTGTTAAAATGGCTCGAGGTGATCAACGGTTGGAAATCGGATCTAAAATCAGAAGAGAAAATATTTTGTGAAATCTTTTAAACCTGACGTGTTATATACCGTTTTTTATCGATAAATATCTATTTCATTAATATATAATAAAGATATATGTGACGGTACACATATCCAGATGAGCAGTACAACATTAAATTTGTTATATTTTGAACTACAAGTGTTACGTTGAAACTTTGTATAACTTTTTATATTACTGTTGTTTTTTAATTACTAAATATTCGGTTTAGAATTAAATCACTTTTTCGCTAGTACTAAATAACTATTATTAGCGTCGACATTTTTTAACTTGCTTATTTAAATTTAATAAAGAATTATAAGCATGTATCTATCATATTTATTAACAAATTTCGTTTGTATTTATTTATCATTTTATGAAATACAATTTCAATAAAAAAAATTAACATATTTTCATATAATAAACGAAATACTTGAATTTAATTTCGTTCTTACTTGCAAGTATATTTATTTCTTAATTATTATACCAAATTTGAACAAACACTTCACTTTTAAATATTTTCTCAAAATTATCTTACATAATAGAATTTTCCAATATCTTTTCAATATAGTATGTATAGTAAAAAATAAATATAAATCGATTAAATTGAACATATGCAATAATTGACAAAAAAAAAGTTATTCTGAATCGATGATCGAACAAATGATTCCACTACATACTTATATAATCCATCTATATTTATTTATTTGCATGAACTGGTTAAATTATTTTTTTACTAATATAAAAATAACAATTAAAAAAGTTTAACCAAGTGTTAAACAAAATATTTGAATATTTTAAATACTATTTCCCACCTACGTGTTTTAATTCATTTATACGCATTAAAATTTTCCACACATTATTTTATATGCACATATCTTTTTGATTCTAAAGATCAATTAATTCAATAACAAAAATTGAAATATGTAAGACATTACTAGTAAATATTTAAAACAGAAGATATAATTTAATAAATTACATATATTATTGTATTTCTTGATAAATTTTCTCAGCATAGAATTTTAAAATTAACTGTAAATATATTTCATCAGCATTTGTATATATTGCTCCTAGATAAATAATAAAGTTGAATTACTTGAAGTTGAGTAGTTGCATTTCTTTTTCTTTTATATTATGCAACATCTGACGTATATGAATTCATTTTAATATTAATTTTCAGATGAATATTTAGATAATAAGTAAAGTTTCATAATTACTTGAATAAAATAAAATTGTTATAATACGAGCTATTTTCATGTTACAAACAATGTCGTAATTAATGAACAAAATGGCCAATAATTGAATTTTCACAACTAATATTTGAGATATAGATTGACACATTTTGCAGGTGAAAAGATCGTGTATCCTCGCTCTTAATTCTATTACTGTATAAAGCTTAATTATGTAAAATGTATTATTTCTTAATGCAAAATGCATTCACTAAATTCAGAAAAAAGAGCTGCCAAATACAATTTATGTAATAAATTTTTTTCAATTGTCATACAACTATTACAATAAATCATATTATATTGTAATAAAAGTACGATATAAATCAAATACGAAATTTGTTAAATATTACATTTGATTTTCTTATGAATTGAGATATCTAATTTAAAAAATATACTGTATTTGACTTGTATTTATTTTAATTAAATTTATCTTATATTTTTTTATAAAAAATTCACACATATCATGCATTCATACATATCTAAATTAAATCGATATAATATTAAAGATATAAATACTATATGAATGTACATTATCACATTATAAAAAAAATCAAATATCATATAAAATAATATAAATATAACAATAACATATAACAAATGAAATGTATAAATAAATAATAATAATAAAAAAATATTCAATTAACAAAAGTTTTGTATGTTTTCTATGTTTAAAAATAAAAATTTTGTTTCTTAATTTTTTTCATTTATCATTTTTTATAAGCAACGATTCAATAAATAACGGTATATGAAATTATTTATAAAATTTATCTTAATATTTCTTTAAACTTTTTGGAAGGTATAAATAGGTAGGATAGATTTGAAAAAGATTTGAAATAAAGTTCAATTCTAATATTTCTATTTTCAAAAAAAACAAATTATTATTCACATGATTTTAATCATTTAATAACAGAGGATATATTTTTATAAAAATTATTATGCTGCTTTGAACATCAAATTACTTGACATAAAGCAGCAGAAATTTTATCGTATATAATGACGATTGTTGGTCTGCGCACTAGATATAAATTACAAAACAAAGAAATCATTTATGCGTTAAGGAAATTGAATATTTTCTGATGATCTCTGGAAAAAATTCAGTTGATACGTAAAATAAAAATAAAAAATGTGTTAATTACTTGTTAAACTTGCTTTATAAACGACATATTACTATATTACTCTGTACTGCAATGCTTCGATTTTGTAACTAAGACTGACGTTTTTAATAAAAATCGTCAATTTTACGTATAATTTAAATATATTTAAATTAAGGTTAAAACCAGATCTAAAATTTAATGAGTAAATACTTTTTTATCTTTAAAAATTCTATTTCTGCTTTTTTAAGAGATTAGATACTTAATTTATGCTATCTATGTAAATAAGTAAACTAGACATTCTGGAAAAATTAACATTTCTAAAAAAAATTTTTTAAAGACATGTAAATGTCTCTGAAAAAATAAAATGTAATTTGATCAGAATGTATCGTATGTAGTATCGAAACATTCAAATTTTTTACAAATTGAATTCTCTAACGATTAATTTAAAAATTTAGTTAAGAATAATACTATTGTTTTTCTTGTATCGATTGTAGGTATCTTTAATAATATAGATATAATGAAACGCAATATTAATTTATGAAAAATCGTAATGAAAAACTCAATAAAAACTAATAGAATTAATGACATTATTTACACAGCGCTAATTTTTCAATAAATTTCAAGCTTATTCAAATTATTTTATAATACTCTGGGTAATACTATTATCTCGATATTTTTATTTATTAAATCAATCATTTTTTATCATGTCTTAACTTTAATAAGTTAATCTATCTAATTAATATTAAACTTGGATATCTATTGTTATTGGATATAATATGTATTGTAAACAAACTATTTATTACAATTTAGTAAAATTATAATGTAAAATTTCCTATCACTTTCAATAAATAAATCATTTAGTTTTATAAATTTAGCGATTAATTAGTATCTTACTCGTAACCCAAAATAGTTTATTAATTTAAAATACTGAAACAAATATAAATACAAGAAAAAATCAATGAAAATAAAGTTCAAAATTCACAAAAACAATTAATATTCTTAGATATGATGTAGTGTTATTCAATATTGTTAATGATAGTCTTATATAATTTCTCTTAAATGTCATAATATATTGTTCTGTGTATAATAACACCTTAATGTCATTAGATAAAGTACACTACTAAGAACTATTAAGATAATAAAAGAATTCATAAACAAATGTTTTTTTACTTTATCTTTATTACGATTGCTAATACAGACGTGTTTTAAAAGTGCAAAAAATATAATCAGACATGATTTTGATTTTTATCCATTAGTAAAACCTAGAGGGGATATTAGTATATATATACTTATACTTCAATATGTTTCTTTAGTTATAATCTGAGCTCGCCTAAAGACAAAACAAAAATTAAATTTAAAATGAAGTTAACTTTTACACTATCAATTGTTTTACTAAGTATTTATTTGATTAGTTTAACAGATGGTATGGTATTATTTAATCATTTCTTTTGAATAAATGAAGTTTATTATTTTTAACTGAATGTACGATATATAAATTAATGTACAATGTTTAAGTATCAACACTTTAGTCTAAATTGACATGAATTTGTGTTAAAATAATAATTATTAAATTTTCAATCATGTCAAATTCAAATTTTACATGTAAATTATAATTATATTTTAATGTGTAAAGCCGTAATTAATAAGAATAATTGTTATGAAATTTCAAAGACACGATTTTCTTTAACAAGGAATAAATTTTCTTTGTATTAAATATTTTATTTATCACTTTATTTCAAAACTACATTACCATATTTTTAATATCATTATATAATATGCATATAAAAAAAATACCATTGAAACATTATTTTTTAAAAACTTTTATATGAATTTAAAAATGAAAACATTCTATATTTTAGCTGGATCAGGTCGCCGTAAAAAACGTGCTCTTTATTTAGAAATGTGCCCGATAAATACAACATATGAAGAATGTGATGCTTTCGCAAAAGAAGAATCTAAAAAAATACAATTTTGTCATACATACAACATACATAATTTTCTTATAACATGGGCAAGGTATGCATGACATTTTAAAATTTATGGAATCGCGTCAATTTTAACAATTAATTGGCAATTAAAATTTTTGTCATTTTTATTATTAAATACCATTTTTTAAATATTTGTAATAATCAATTATAAAAAATTTTTAGTTGCGGAGTTATCGCGTGTACAGGAAATACAAAGGTCAAAGAAGAAGATTTGTCCAAACCTTATCCTTATTGTTGTAAAACTTGTGTAATGATATAGCCTTCGAATATATGAAGAACGCACTTTTTCTAAAAACCTGATGATAGTAAAAAATTATTGTAAAGTAAAATTGCAATAATCGGATGAAAATATCTTATTAAATGTATCTATCATTGACTAGAAGTTTATATTCCTTATCAAAAGTTTATGAATAGTAAATATTTTAGTATATTATTAGTATGGATAAAAAATATAATTGCAGATGACTGTCGAAATATTAAATTTCTTACTTTTTTCAGTATTTGAGACATATTTTAAAGCGAACTTTAAACTATACTTAAACTTTAAACTTTTTTTTTAAACTACGAACAAATTATTTATCTGAATTAAAAATATAAATAAATATTTCTATATACTTTTTATAAAGAAATTTTAATATTTTTATTTAACTATGTCTCGTTTAAATAATAATAATTATGAAAATAATAAATATCTAGGATGTATTTTAGTTTATTTGAAGAAAGTTTTATAAAAATAATACACTACCGACAAATATGTTTTGGGTTCAATTATTTATTTTTGCATTTATGATTTTTGATAGTTTTTATGAATAATCTTTGCATATTAATATGATATTGAAATACACAAAATTATTAAAAAATAGTTATATAAACTATGTATTTTCGCAGCTTTTGACATAAAGTATTTAAAAACTATGCTTTTTTATTAAAGATTATTGATTTATCGATCTAAAATATTCGTTCTCTCTTTAATTTTAAAATAACTTTTATTTTATAGTATAGAAATGAAAATAGATTGTTAATTAAAATTCTATTACTTATATATTAGATAACTTAAAAATATATACTTTGGCCACCTATTTACAATAAATAATTTTATTAGAATATCAGAAAAGTATTTATATCATTTCAACATATATATTGTAACAATATCTTAAAATTTGTTATATATGGCTGTTGATATATCTGTGTAATATTGAACAAATTAAAAATTTATAGTGGTATTTTTATAAATTACATATAAATTATTATATATAATGTATAAATAACTAAATATTAAAAAGTAAATTGTAATAATTACTCTTCTACTGATGAATTTAGATAGAATTATAATATTTGAAATTATAATTTCATTGGATTTTTAAAATTGTTTAAAAATATAATAAGTTTTTAAATGCAATTGTTTTTTAATAATTATCATTAATGTAAATGAATTCGGCTACCTAAAGTTAACAAAAGCGTGAAAAACTTTAAAAAAATTACTATTACACACAGGAAGATCAATCTTTCTTTTTTTAATATTGTTTATAATATTATATATAAAAAAACAATATATTAAGCATAAAATATAAAAATTAGGTACATACAAATTATTATTAAAAATAAATTCTTTCAATTTTGAGATATATTAATTATTTTTCAAAAAATTTTTTTTTAAATAGCTTGGCTTAACATATTATATACAATTCAAGTTTCTTATATACACAGTATCTTAATATTAAATTTTTTAAAAATAAGATTTTTTTATGTTTTTGATGTTTTTTGATAATCTTTTAATTATTTAATTATAATTATATAGAATAGCAATATAAGACATTGTTTAAAAATATATA